GTAAAGGGAGAGGAAGGTAGGTAGTGGAAGGGAAGGGTGGGGAAGATGGTTAGGAAGGGAATGGGTAGAAGGGAGAGGTGGATTGAAAGGAGGGAAGGGGGAAGGGAAGGAAAGGGGAAATGTAGAGGAGGAAGAATGGAAGGGAGGGGAACGGTAATAGGAGGATGGGGGTAGGAGGGGATGGTAGAAGGAGAGGTGGTGGAAGGAGGGGAGGGGAGGGGAAGGGACGGAGAGTGGAAGAGGAGAAAGATGGGAGGATGAAGGGGAAGGGCAGGGAAAGAGGGAGATGTGATTTGAAGGAGGGAAAGAGGAAAAGGGGAAAGGGGAAAGGGAAAAGGTGGAGGTAGGAAGATGAGGGAGAGTGAGGGGGCAGGGAAGGGGAACTTCTCTCCTGAAATTTTGACTTCATTGAGACTCATTTCGGGAGAGAGTCTTTGGCTTTTGCATTTCTTGTTTCTCTCGAGTGGAGGTTATGAGGTTGCCTGAGTTGCCTCTTTCCCCTTTTTTTTAATGTTTCTTTCTCCCTCTCCTTCCTCTTTCTTGGCCTTCCCTTGTCTGTTTTGAATGCTCACTTTTCATCTTTCACTTTCTGTCTTCTCTTATTCTCCCTCTTTCTTTTTTTTTCGTCATTCTATCCCTCTTTCTTTCTTTCTTTCATTTCTCCTCATCTTCGTTCGCTCATTTTTTTTTTCTCTCTCTCTCTAACTGAACTCTCTCTCTCTCTCATCTTCTCTCTCTCTCTCTCTCTCTCTCTCTCTCTCTCTCTCTCTCTCTCCTCCTCTCTCCTTCTTCTCATCTCTCTCTCTCTCTCTCTTCTCTCTCTCTCTAATCTAGTCTATCTATCTATCTATCTAATCTATCTCCCACCTCATTTCTCCATCTCTCCACTCTAACATATAGTTAGCCTATCTTCAAATCGCCTTTCGCCAGCCCTCGATATCAAATAAGAAATGAAAAGTGAAGAAAGAAAGAAAGAGAAAAAAAAGAAAAGAAAGAAAGAAAGAATTAGAGAGGTGAGAAGAGAAAAAGAAATAAGAAAAGAAAGGAAGAAAGAGAGAAAGAAAGAAAGAAAGAAAGAAAGGTAGAAAGAAAGAAAGAAAGAAAGGACGAAAAAAAGAAAGAAAAGAAAGAAACGAAAGAGGAGAAAAACAAGAAAGAAAAGAAAGAAAGAAGGAGAAAGAAAAAGAAAAAAGGAAAGAAAAAGAAAGAGAGAGAAAGAAAAGAAACAAACAAACAAACAATAAAACACATGGCTTTCAATTCCTCTATTTTTAGCTTTCTTTTCTCTCACTCTTCGTTGTTCTCAAAAGGAAATTTAAAAAATGATCGCGTTTTGCTGGCCACCATTTTTTATTTTTTTTTTATACCCTTTTTTAGGCCTTTTTTTTAAAGGCCTTAGACGGAGACGAAGCGGCGAATTCCAATAATACATAACTGACGAATCTCTTCAGATGGAAAATTCAGTTTATGTATATTAACATCCAAAGGGAAAAAAAATATTATATTGATTTTTTAAAGTCTCTGCTTCTCTCTTTCTCTGTCTCGCTCTCTCTATCTCTCTCATTCTCTCATTCTCTCTCTCTCTCTCTCTCTCTCTCTCTCTCTCTCTCTCTCTCTCTCATTTCTCTTCTCTCTCTCCTCCCTCCTCCCCACCCTTCCCTTCCCTCCTTCTCTCTCTGTCTCTTCTCTATGTCTTCTCTTTCTCGCTCTCTTCATCTCTCTCTCCTCTCTCCCTCTCTCTCCTCTCCTCTCTCTCTCTCTCTCTCTCTCTCTCCCTCTCTCTCTCCTCTTCTCTCTCTCTCTCTCTCTCTCTCTCTTATATGTGTCTATCCAAAAGGCAACATTTCTCCAGACTCTGAAGAAGCAAATAGAGCTGGAAATGGCTGCAACATATTCTGGGGTTTTCTTATTCCTCATTGAAAGAGGGAAAGGGCGGGGAAAGAAGAGAGAGAGAGAGAGAGAGAGAGAGAGAGAGA